ATTGCAGCAATTTGAAAACTCTTGTTACGGTGGGGATAAAGCAATGAAGAAAACAAAATGCGTGTTTTTTTTCATGACCATTACATTCTAGTGGGTCTAAAGAGACAAAGGAAAAAAAAAGAAAGTATATAGTAAATCAAATAATAAGTACTGTGGGGAAAAGTCAAGCAGGGTAATCGAACTGGGAAGAGTCGAAGGTGTATGGCAGGCCAGGTGTGGTGGCTCAGCCTGTAATCCCAGCACTTTGGGAGGCCGAGGTGGGCAGATCACTTGAGGTCAGGAGTTCGAGACCAGCCTGGCCAGCATGGCAAAACACCATCTCTACTAAAAATACAAAAATTGACTGAGTGTAGTGGCATGCTCTACATGTGGCAGTAATCCCTGCTACCTGGGAGGCCGAGGAAGAGAATCTCTTGAACCTGGGAGGTGGAGGTTGCAGTGAGCTGAGATTGCGCCGCTGCACTCCAGCCTGGGCGACAGAGCGAGACTCTGTTTAAAAAAAAAAAAAAAAAAAAAAAAGTTTATGGTGGTACTGTTGATTTATTTTTAGATCATGTGTTATGGAAGGCATCATGGATAGAGTAACATGTAATATGTGAGCAGAGACCTGACAGGAGCAAGAGAACAAGCAAGGCTCCCTGCTTTCTGGGAGGAAGTTTCCAAGCTGAACATACCTCTCCCTCTCTTCGTCTTCTGTGTTGGCTTTGAGAGTTTGCATTATGCTCTATTTCTTTCCTCTCCGAAGTTCTCTCCTAGTTACACAAGATTAACTTTCCCTTTTCCACTTCTTGGCCAGAGACCTGGATTTCTACCAGATTTTAGAACAATGATCTTATTCCAACTGCTTTCCCAAATTTCCTGTTGGATAATAGTTTCTAACAGGATCTAAAATACTATTTTATGCCTACAGTCTGAACTTTTCTAACCTAACTGGTTATTAGAATCCCACTTATCATAAGCCTACTGAGGAAGAGGTGAGTAGGCTATTAATTGATGTTATTGTAGGTCGCAATGTGGATTGTCTTTTTGTTGCCTTGCAGCTACCTGATTTTAGCTTTTAGCTCTCATATTAAATTGTTAGACTTACGGTTCTAAATGGATCATGTTTATACTTAGTGAATGGGAGCCTGTGGACCCCATTCTTTGTTTACACCTGTATGAAAAACATGACAAAAGAATACACGATGCTGTAAGGACAAGGTCACTTTTTCCCTGGTTTATCAAGGCTTTCTCCCATGACCTAAGTGTGAAATTCTGGTATTTCTGAAGAAAGCATTTACTGCTCTCATCTCTAAATATTGCCTTTTTTTTTTTTTTTTTTTTTTTATATAGGCAGCAAGCATCAAAATAAGATGGAGACGCTCCAAAAATTTGCATTAAAATACCTTTCAAATCAAGAGCTATCCTGCTGGCAAATCTGGAAACAGGTTGCAAGGGAATTAACCAGGTGTCTTCAGGGGAAGCGTTCCCAGTTACTACAAGGTGACTCTATTCAGGTTTCTGAAAATGAGAACAATATAATGAACCCTAAAGGGATTTATATTGAAAATCAAGAGTTTTCATTTTGGAGAACCCAGCATTCTTGCAGGAATGAATATATGAGTGAGTCACAGATTCAGAGTAGAGGTAAGCAAATTAATGTGAAAAATAACCTGCATATACATGAAGACTTCATGAAAAAGTCACCATTTCATGAGCATATTAAAACTGACACAGAACCGAAACCCTGCAAAGGTAATGAATATGGCAAAATCATTAGTGATGGCACCAATCAGAAATTACCCTTAGGAGAGAAACCCCATCCATGTGGTGAGTGTGGAAGAGGCTTCAGTTATAGCCCAGGGTTTCCCCTTCATCAGAATGTTCACACAGGAGAAAAATGCCTCAGTCAAAGCTCTCATCTGCAAACTCTTCAGAGAATTCACCCAGGAGAGAAACTCAATAGATGTCATGAATCTGGTGATTGCTTCAATAAGAGCTCTTTTCATTCTTACCAATCTAATCATACAGGAGAAAAGTCCTATAGATGCGACAGTTGCGGCAAAGGATTCAGTAGCAGCACGGGTCTTATCATTCATTACAGAACTCATACTGGAGAGAAACCGTATAAATGCGAGGAATGTGGTAAATGCTTCAGTCAAAGTTCAAATTTTCAGTGCCATCAGAGAGTCCACACTGAAGAAAAACCATACAAATGCGAAGAGTGTGGTAAGGGCTTCGGTTGGAGTGTTAATCTCCGTGTTCACCAGAGGGTCCACAGGGGTGAGAAACCCTATAAATGTGAGGAGTGTGGTAAGGGCTTCACTCAGGCTGCACATTTTCACATCCATCAGAGAGTGCACACTGGAGAGAAACCCTACAAATGTGATGTGTGTGGTAAGGGCTTCAGCCACAATTCACCATTAATATGCCATCGGAGAGTCCACACAGGAGAGAAACCATATAAGTGTGAGGCGTGTGGGAAAGGCTTTACCCGTAATACAGATCTGCATATTCATTTCAGAGTTCACACGGGAGAGAAACCCTATAAATGTAAGGAGTGTGGTAAGGGCTTCAGTCAGGCTTCAAATCTTCAAGTCCATCAAAATGTCCACACTGGGGAGAAACGATTCAAATGTGAAACGTGTGGGAAGGGCTTCAGTCAGTCCTCAAAGCTTCAAACCCATCAGAGAGTCCACACTGGAGAGAAACCATACAGATGTGATGTGTGTGGTAAGGATTTCAGTTATAGTTCAAATCTTAAACTACACCAAGTAATTCACACCGGAGAAAAACCATATAAATGTGAGGAATGCGGGAAGGGCTTCAGTTGGAGATCAAATCTTCATGCACATCAAAGAGTTCACTCAGGAGAGAAACCCTATAAATGTGAGCAGTGTGATAAGAGCTTCAGTCAGGCCATCGATTTCCGGGTACATCAGAGAGTCCATACTGGAGAGAAGCCATACAAATGTGGTGTCTGTGGTAAGGGCTTCAGTCAGTCCTCTGGTCTTCAATCCCATCAGAGAGTCCACACGGGGGAAAAGCCATACAAATGTGATGTGTGTGGAAAGGGCTTTAGATACAGTTCGCAGTTTATATACCATCAGAGAGGCCACACTGGAGAAAAACCTTACAAATGTGAAGAGTGTGGGAAAGGCTTTGGTAGGAGCTTGAATCTTCGCCATCATCAGAGGGTCCACACGGGAGAGAAACCCCACATATGTGAGGAGTGTGGTAAGGCCTTCAGTCTCCCCTCAAATCTTCGAGTCCACTTGGGTGTTCACACCAGGGAAAAACTCTTTAAATGTGAAGAGTGTGGTAAAGGCTTCAGTCAGAGTGCACGTCTTCAAGCCCATCAGAGAGTCCACACTGGAGAAAAACCTTACAAATGTGACATATGTGAGAAGGACTTCCGTCACCGTTCACGTCTTACATATCATCAGAAAGTCCATACTGGCAAAAAGCTTTAGAAATGAGAAGTGTGTTACCAACTTTTGTCTGAATGCACCTTTTCAAGTTTTTGGAGAGTGCATGCTGGTGGTAAACCCTATAAAAGTATTGAGAGTGGAAGGGGGTTTATTCACGTTTGGAATCTTTCTAACAAATCCATCAAGATGATGACATAGAACCATGAACAGGAATAGAACTCGTATTTAGGGGAAAAAATGGGGCTTGTGGCTCTCTTGGTAAGATCTAGTTAATATAAATGATCACCTTTCAATGTGAATATATGCCTGAAGATAATGTGTGGAAGGATATTTGCCATATGCTAACTGGTTTTTTGGCCAGGGAGAGTTTTGAGTTATTATTCCTTTTCTTTAATTTTCATTTTATACCTACAGTGATCTTTATTTTCATGAAAGCTGTAAAGCTATGAATAATGAATAAAATTACTGACTAAAAATTTTCTGTAACTAAGGACTCATAATATGATTATTTTATATGGTACATAGATTTAAAATTAAGGAATATATCCCCAGGGATGAATCTTTGATCTTCAGAAGTAAATATATGTCTGCCATAGAGGTATATTAAAGGATAGTATGGCCGGGCATGGTGGCTCATGCCTGTAATCACAGCACTTTGAGAGGCCAAGGCGGGTGGATCACGAGGTCAGGAGATCAAGACCATCCTGGCTAATATGGGGAAACCCCATCTCTACTAAAAATACAAAAAAATTAGCCAGGCGTGGTGGCACGTGCCTGTAGTCCCAGCTACTTGGGAGGCTGAGGCAGGAGAATCGCTTGAACCCGGGAGGTGGAGGTTGCAGTGGGCCGAGATCACACGATTGCACTCCAGCCTGGTGACAGGGCAAGACTGCGTCCCAAATAAATAAATAAAGGATAGTCAGTGCATCATTGTTTTAATAGCAAACAGAAATAGTTGGATTGCCAAAGTATTTTGTGCTTTACCAATCCAGCAGCACGCTATGCAGACATCAAATGGGAAAAGGTAAATTTTTAGCTGTGGATGTTGGAAGATGTTCAGAGTATATTAACTTGAAAAAAATAATGTGAGATTTTTATGTGATCCTATTTTGTAAAAACGCATAGATGAATAAGTATTTACTTATAGTTCTCTCTAAATAATGGGATTTTACTTTATGTATATTTTTATATTTCTTTAAACTTATTTTGAAATAATTTAAAACTTTCAGAAAAATTATAGAAATTATATAAAAGCTCCCATATACTCTTTACCCAGATTCACCAGTTGTTAACATGTTTGAATTATTCTCTCAATAAGTATGAGCATATCTATACCCATACTTATACATGTTATATGCATTTATACATAAAGTTTTGCCATATGAATATGTTATATCCTTCTCCCTACACTAAATACTTGTGTGCTTTCCTAAGAACAAGGATATCTACTTAGCTTTAATACAACATTCCAGTGATTTATTTACTTAGAGACAGGGTCTCATTCTGTTGTCCAGGCTGAGTGCAGGGGGGTGATCATAGCTCACCACAGCCTTGAACTCCTGGGGTCAAGCGATCCACTCCACTCAGCCTTTCAAGTAACTGGGACTGCAGGCATTGACCACCATGCCCACCTAATTTTAAAGATTTTTGTAGAGATGGGCTCTCGCTATGTTGTCTAAACTGGTGTCGAATTCTTGGGCTTAAGTGATCCTCCCACCTCAGCCTTGCAAAATGCTAGGATTATGGGCATGAGCCACTGTACCCAGAAAGAAAATTTATTATTGATACATAACACTATGTAACCTATAGACCTTATTTAAATCTTACAGTTATCCCAATAATATATTTATTGGTTTTCTGCTCTAGAGTCCAAAGATTACACATTGCATTTAGACTGCTTTAATCTGAATTGCTACCTCTTTCATTGTTTTTAATGACCTTGATATTCTTGAGATTATTTTGTAGAATGTCTCTTAATTTGGATTTGCCTGAGGTTTCCTTACAATTGGATTTGAATTACATTTTTTTCCCTGAGGACTCTTAAGTGGTGTGCAGCACATCAGGAAACACGGTATGTTTGTACCTTTATGGGTTATGTTAACTTGGAACACTTGATTGGGGAGGGCCGTGCTGGGTTTTTCCACTGCGAAATTACTATTTTTTTCTTTGTAATTAATAATTACAAAGGCAACTTGTGGGGAGACACTTCCTGACTCTATAAATAACTTGCTTTTCGTAAATTTTCCTCCACTAGTTTAAGCATTCTCTAAGTCTGGCCTAAATCAGTAATTGCTCTGATGGTGTAAAAGGGTGATATATTCAACCTTCATCATTCCTCCAACACTTGTTAGACTGTTGATCTACTCTAAGGAAGTTTCCCTTCTGTCCTGTTTGCCCGTCATGTATTCTCAAATAAATTTGAGCACATCTACACAATACAATGTTCCAAGCTCATCTGGTATTCTTCCTGCCCCATCCATGGAATTTGCTGTTTCTTTGAGAACTCAGATTCTTCTGATTGGGGGATGGTAGTTAAACATCAAGATCTGGGTAATAGCTGTAATAGATGTGCCTTTTCTTTTTTTTTCCACTAGGGGATGAAGGAGGGGAAAGAGGTATATAGACAGGAAGAGAAGTAGAAGGGTAGAAAGAATTAATGATGAGTTCCTGCTTTTATCTCCAGTTCTTAATATCATAGTGATTTTTTTTTTCTAGCCTTACCCCTATTCTGTGTTGCATCTTCATTCTTCAAGAATCAGAAATTTGTCTCCCAGTATCATTCATATATTTACTGGGGAATGTGGACATGCATCCAACTAGAACTTGGGGGTTCTGTCTTTTGGAGAGAATGGGAGTATTGGATGACTGATGCTAGAGATGATTTTTGAATGGCATAGTCTCCCAAACATTACAATTTTTCTCATTCTCAGGGTATTGACCCTTTAAACCAAATAAAATGTTCCCGTAGGATCATGAAGAAAAGTATCTGATAGAAATATCCAAAGATAGATATATTCAGATGAGAGCCTTCCAGTCAATGTTTTCTTGCAGGTACTAGCACAGTTAATGTTAAGGAATGGTTTCTTGTGAACTGTTGTGGAGCTCTCCTAGCCTGTGAGTGTCACTGATGCCACTGATGAATATTGCTTTATTTACCTCTCATTCTCTTCTTAACCTTCTCAGAGGTAGTTTGACAAAGTCTCAAACTGCATCCCTCTACTGCTTCTTGAGAGGACCAAGGCATTTTAGGAGAAACTAGTGTTAAAGAGACCAAGTCAGAAGATTGGTAACAAAGTAGTATAGTATAATAGCAGACTCTCAGCCAGGCACAGTGGTTCACACCTATAGTCTCAACTACTCAAGAGGCTGAGGCGGGAGGATCACTTGAGCCCAGGAGTTTGAAGCTGCAGTGAGCCTTGATTGCACTACTGCATTCCAGCCTGGGTGACGGTGAGACCCCATCTTGAAAAAGCTGGCTGGGTGCAGTGGCTGCCGCCTTTAATCCCAGCACTTTGGCTGGCCAAAGTGGGTGGATCACCTGAGGTTAGGAGTTTCAGACCAGTCTGGCCAACATGGTAAAACCCTGTCTCTACTAAAAATACAAAAAGTTAGCCAGGCGTGGTGGTGGGCGCCTGTAATCCCAGCTATTCGGCTGAGGCAGGAGAATTGCTTAAACCCAGGAGGTGGATGTTGTAGTGAGCTGAGATCGTTTCCACTGCACTCCAGCCTGGGCAACAGGAGTGAAACTCCATCTCAAAAAAAAAAAAAAAAAAAAAAAGGAAAAAAAGAAAAAGCCAACCCTGGAATTAGACTTTCTTGTTCAGTGTAGCCATTTGCTAGTTGTGTAACTGCAGACAAAATGCTTAACCTCTCTATTCCTCAATTTGCTTGTGTTGTCAATGTTTGAGGATAATATCTTTTAGTTCTGTGGTAAGGGTTAAAACTATATGCCTGGCATATAGTAAGATCTGTATAGTGTTAACTATTATTTTCAACATAGATGTCACTATTACTAGATAACTGCTAACTTATACTAGAAATTTCTAAACAAGGGATCAGTAAACTATAGCCTGCTGGCCAAATCTAGCCTGTGTTCTCTTTTTGTACAACACGAGAGCTGAGATTTTAAATGTTTAAAGAGTTATAAGGTAAAAAAACGAATATGCTACAGAGACCATCTGTGGCCCACAAGACCCAAAACGTTACTGTCTGGCCCTTTTTAGGAAGTTTGCCATTCCCTGGTCTAAGCAAATTTTAGTTTCTCGGAAGCCTTGCTTCTGAGATACATACGTACTACAGATATGTATTATCTCAATTCAGCACTTCTCAAGTCTTTTAGGTTTAAAGAAATGCTCAAATTGACATAAGAAAACACAAGCATTTTTTTTAGAGAAAATTAGGACCATGTATGAAGCAATGTGCTGTGTGTCCAATGTGTAGCTAATCTGCAATTCTATGAATAAATGTTATGTTTGTTTGTTTTTTTTTGTAAGTAAACTTAGGTTTTACAGGTTTAAGTACCTTCCCTAAGTCAGTCAGTAGTAAATGCCACAACCACAGTTTGAACTCAGGTCTATCTTGCTGACTTCAAAGCTACTCTTAAATGCTGTCTGCATAAATTACATTGCAAGGCCAGAATGCCTAAGTTTACATTCTGTAGAGCATGCATCCCATTTCACATGAATAAAGTACAAATATAAGAATGGAATATCCTTCAAAAAGTACCAAATTTGCCTAGGAAGTGTTTTGCTCCATTTCAACTCAGGCTTTTCCTATAATAAGTTAATAATCTAAGGCAAGCTTGTCCAATTTGCAGTCCAGGACAGCTTTGAAAGTGGCCCAACACAAATTCATAAACTTTCTAAAACATGAGATTTTTTTTTTTGAAAAATTTTAAAGCTCATCAGTTGTTTTATTTGAGACCCAAGACAGTTCTTCTAGTGTGGCCCAGGGAAGCCAAAAGATTGGACACCCCCATCTAAGAGATATGTTTTGTATTTCCTACTTCCTTGATTACATTTCTGACCTTGTTGATGCCATTTTAAAATATTTCTTCTTGTTTGATGATTGAAAATCCAATACTGAAAAATTAAATGTTGAAAAAGCCATGTTTGAAGCTTTAACCTAGCAGCTGTAACCTAACTGAATGTACCTCTTCCAACTATAATTTTGCAGTCCACTTGAGGAAGGAATCCTTTTTAGGACTTATCTGAAACTATTTACTTGGTAGTTCCTCCACAAAATCAGGTTTATGTAAAAATATGCAGCTTTTGCCAGGCATGGTGGCTCATGCCTGTAATCGCAGCACTCTCAGAGGCTGAGGCAGGAGAATGGCTTGAGCCCTGGAGTTCAAGAGCAACATGGGCAACACAGTGAGACCCCATCTCTACAAAAAAAAATCAAAAAATTAGCCGGGCATGGTGTCACGTACCTGTAGTCCCAGCTACAGGCTGAGTGGCTGAAGTGGGAGGATTGCTAGAGCCCAGGTGGTTGAGGCTGTAGTGAGTTGTGCTGTTGCACTGCACTCCGGCCTAGGGCCCTGACTCAGAGATAATAATCATCTTAAAAATGCAGGTTTTAGGATAGCCATTTACTTGAAAATTGTAAGTTGGAGAGCCCTTCAGCAATTTATACCCATATTTCTCTTCTCTTTTTCCCTCCCCCTTTTAAGTTTTGAGGTATAATTAACATACAATAAGCTGTACATATTTAAAGTATTCGATTTTTAAAGTTTTAATATGTGTATCTTTGAAACCATCACCACAATCAAGATAGCAAAAATACCCATCATTCTTCAAAGTCACCTCATCTCTCCCTTTTAATCTCCATTCTGCTCCTCCCCAATCCCTGAGCAACCACTGATCTGCTTTCTGTCACTGTAGAGTAGTTTGCATTTCCTACTATCCTAACAAATGAAAACCATACAGTATATACTCTTTTTTTCCCTAACTTCTGGCAGAAAGAGATTCATCCTTGTTGTCTGTATATAATTAATTCTTCATTATTGATCATTACTGTAATCGTATAGATATACCACAATTTTTTTTTAATCCATCTATTGATGGGGATTTGAGTTGTTTTCAAACTTGGCTATTATAAATGCTATGACATGCTGTCAACACTTGTTTGTGTACAAGTGTTTGCATGGAGATATGTATAGTCCAGAAATATATATATATATACACACCATATATAACTCTAGACTATATATTTTATATTGGATAAATAGCTAGGAATTGGATAACTGGATCATATGGTAAGTATGTATATGACTTTTATTGTATTTTTAATTTAGTATTTTTATTTATCACAGTTATACAAATTTGGAGGAGTACCTGTGGTATTTCAGTCATGTGTACAATGTGTAATGATCAAATCGGTGTAGTTGGGATGCCCATCACCCCAAACATTGTGTTTAACTTTTTTTTTTTTTTTTTTTGAGATGGAGTCTCTGTCACCCAGGCTGGAGTGCAGTGGTGTGGCAACCTCTGCCTGCTGGGTTCAAGCAATTATCCTGCATCAGCCTCCCAAGTAGCTGGAACTACAGGCATGCGGCACCATGCCCGGCTAATTTTTTGTATTTTTAGTAGAGACGGGGTATCACCGTGCTGGCCAGGCTAGTCTCGAACTCCAGACCTTGTGATCCACCTGCCTAGGCCTCCCAAAGTGCTGGGATTACAGCCACTGCACCCGGCCGTGTTTAACTTTTTAAGGAATTTCCACTCTTTTCCAAAGTGAGTGTGCTGTTTTATGTTTTCATCAGCAGTGTACATGTTTTCTTCACATTTTCATCAAAATGTATAATGGTCGGTCTCTTTTAGCTATTCTACCCTAGTAGTATCTTACTGTGTTTTTAATTTGCATTTTTCTAAACATGCTTTCCATGTGCTGATTTTCCACTATCATATCTTTGGTAAAGTCTATTTAAATACTTTGCCCAATTTTTTTTTATTGGGTTACTTGTTTTCTTATTGAGTTTTATGGGTTCTTTGTATATTATTGATACAAGTGCTTTATCAGGTATGTGATTTGTAAAATTTTTTCAGTCTGGTTAAGCAGAAGTTTAAAATT